TTAATATGTATGCTAAAAAGCTAAAATAATGGAAAATGGCAGCCATTTTAAATTGTAATAGCTCAAAAATGTGTACAATATTTAGTTAACTGTTGTTGTCATTGTTATGAGTGAATTTCCAATTGAATGCTGCATTTTAATAACATAAACTTACAATATTAGTGACAATTTTAGGAAAAAATGGCAGCCATTTTGAAACTGCTGGCAACCCCCCTTACGTATGAAAAAAAAAATGTTGCACATACTTTTTTAATTTATCAATGTCTACTCTACATCATATCCAATTTTTTAAAAATATAGCAAAAAAAAATGCAACCTCTGATATTGCTACATTTCGGACTGGACTATACGGCAGTGCCGATAGCCACTGCCATGTAATTCAGCGGAATCTAACAACAGATCACAAATTGAGATTCAAAAGTATGCAAATATGAAAATAAATAATAAAAGGCAAGGCATAATAAAGCGTCATTTTTTGTCCTCAGACGATTCTTCGCATTTTCATTTCTGAGAATCGTAAAATATAATGCATCCTGTAAATGTCCCAGACAATTCCCTGTTTATATTCACCATTAAGTTTAGAACGGTAACATGCGTTGAACCACCAACCACACTTGTTCGAAATACTGCAGGAGGAACCATCGGAATTATCGTTATCTCTGTCTGGTGTAGAGAAGCTCATACCATTGCTGCACCACATTGCAGTCCCACCGCAGAGAAGCCCATCAACTGTAAAACATAACAAGACGATTGATCAGCTAAGAGCTACCATCAGATTCCCACCCGAATCTACCTAATAGTTCTGATAAGTATCAATTTCGGTGACATCACCATTCATGGTGCCGTCACCAAACCTGATTAGAGGATTCTGATCAGATGATTGATGATTGGTGCTGTCACCAGTATAGAAGTGTATCAGCATTTTATTTGTCACAGAAACTGATCAATTAGGTAGAATCGGCTGGTTAAGAGTGTCCTTTTGTGCATGATTTCATCTTCAGTAATATCTTCATTCAAAACATAATCAAAAACCAAATGACCTTATAGATACAATATTTCACGTTCAAGTGTAGGGTATATCATTGACCTATGCACCAGGCCTGTATTCAAGAGCAGTGCTATTCCATTCATTTAACATTAAACACAAAATAAGAAATACTTAAAGCATAATAATCGTATATAAAAATATACATACACACACAGTAAAAATTTTTACTAATATTTGTTCATAGTCAAAATTAATAAGCAATACAAAAGACAAGTTCTTTGAAAAATTAATATTATGAGAATAATTATTATTATCATTTGTTTTTATTCATGCTATTAAAAACAATTTATGTTAAAAACAATTTATGTTAAAAACATTTTAAAGTTATACTAACTGTCATGAGCTAAAAAAAAACTGTAAAATAAAATCCATTCCGAATTTATCCAATTTCTTAATTTATTTTTATATTTTGTAAGTTATTAGATACACTTAAAATCTAAATTATAATAATATTCCCGTCAATTAATGGACATGCAAATAATACATTTCCTGTATTATTTTACATGTTAATATTTTCTAGTAATCAATTTTAAGAGATTTGTAGTAAAATGTCTGTAAATCAATTGTTTATTTTGTTTTTTTTTTGTTTTTTTTTTATTTTATTTTTTTTTTTTATCTGTTTCTGGTTGAAATTTAATGACTAAATTGTTCCCTTTTAATATGAGCTATTCATAATTTTAATTGAATTATTTTGGCAAAGCATATATGAAAACGTCTTTTAGCATTGTCTAGATTATTTCACAGGATAGGGCCTATATGAAATACTCAGAAGCGTTGGGGTGGTGGGGGGAGGGTGAGTGCTCGTGGATACTTCGGCGTATAATTTTACGTATACATTTGTTATATTCACATTTCTAATACTCGTTTCAAATATTTTCCACTTTGCATTTTTAAATTTTGCTAAGATCACGCACCACCTAAAAAACTTTTACTTTTGTTTTTTGTGGGATCGTCTCATTTTTCTTTCTCCATTCATCCATTTTAACTCACTATATACAATCAAAACATACGGATGACATTATTTAGACATTTAGCACGCTCTTTCTTTTTATTTCATTTTATTATATAACATTTTTCCACCTCAATTGACTGATATAACATTTATCGAAACTTTGTCAATCATTCACATGATCAATCAATCAATCGATATATTATTTACATATCTTTTTCTCATTCTCAATCAGCCAACCAGTCAATTTAGTCAACCAATCAATTAATGTATATAGGCCTATATGACATATAAAATCTTGTGTTATTATATATATATATATATATATATATATATATATATATACCTGTCTCTTATACACATCTAGATGTGTATAAGAGACAGGAATATATGTGTATAGAGGAATATCTGCGAATGTGAAAAAATAGGTGCCCCAACCGGGATTCGACCCGGGACCTTGTGCTGTTTCTTGAGACGCCTTCCAACCAGGCTTTGTTGTGAATTCAAATCCGATTAAGCATCTTATCCCTCCACACTCACGCAGGGCCGGCGGAACGTTTTTCAAAGTGGGGGGCGGGTGCCCACTTATAAGATGAATGGGAATATGAATCATGCAGATCTGGAAAAACCTAGGGGATGGGGGTCAACATTTTTCCCAAAAAGGAAAGGGGATCCGAGGGTCCTCCCTCGGGAAAATTTTGATTTCTAGATGGCGGGAAATAACCTTTCTCGACTTTTGAGCTAGGTTTCTAATGACTTTGTTCTTCAAAATTCAAGGTTTCCCCCTCTTGAAAACGGTCAGGTAAACTTTCTCATTCTTATTACAGTAAATAGGCCTGTTATGTATGTGTGTATACATACCGTACTTAAAAAAAAAAATAGTTGTTGCATACGGTACGTATTCTTTTTTCAATGAATCGATAAGCTCCAAAGAAAAGGAGCGGGGGGAGCGGGGGTCCCGGGGTTCTCCCCCGGAAAAATTTTGAATCCTAGATGGCGGGAAATGAGTTTTTCCGACTTCTGAGGTGTCTTAATTACTTTTAAGTTCTTTAAAATTAAAGGTTTTCCCCTCTTGAAAACGGTCCGGTAAATCTATCTCATTGTTATTACAGTAGACAGGACTTATGTGTGTATACATTCATTAAAAAAATTGAGTATTTGCATACGATTTTTTCCATGAACCCATAAATCCCAAAAAGAAAGGGGGAGTCCGGGGGTTCTCAACAGGGAAAATTTTGATTCCTAGAAGGCGGGAAATGAGCTTTCCTGACTTCTGAGGTGTCTTTTAACTACTTTTAAGTTCTTCAAAATTCAAGGTTTTCCCCTCTTGAAAATTATTATAATGAATCAATGAGCCCAACGAGAAAAGGGAGGTTCGGGTTCTTCCTGGGAAAATGTTAATTTCTAAATGGTGGGAAATGAGCTTTCCCGACTTCTGAAGTATCTTATAGCGATTTTAATTTAAGTTCTTCAAAATTCAAGGTTTCCTCTCTTGAAAACGGTCAGGTAATTTTTTCCCAAAATCCCGAAAAGAAAGGGGGTCGGGGAGTTCTTCCCCGGGAAAAGTTTGATCCCTAGAAGCGGGAAATGAGCTTTCCCGACTTCTGATGTGTCTTTTAATTACTTCTAATTTCTTTAAAAATTAAGGTTTTCCCCCTCTTGAAAATGATTCAATAGAACCAATGAACCCCAAAGAAAAAAGGGGTCCGGGTTCCCCCGGGAAAATTTCGATTTCTAGAATGCGGGAAATGACCTTCCCTGACTTCTGAAATGTCTTTTAAATGACTTTTTAAGTTCTTCAAAATTTAAGGTTTTCCCCTCTTGAAAATGGTCAGTTAAATTTTTCTCATTTTTTATTTTATGTGTGTATACATAGGCCTATATAAATAAATGAGTAGTTGCATGCGTATTCTTTTTTCCCATGAATCGATAAATCCTAAAAAGAAAGGGTGATCTGGGGGTTCTCCCCGGGAAAATTTTAATTCGTAGATAGCGGGAATGAGCTTTCCCGACATTTGAAGTGTGTTTTAATGACTTTTATGTTCTTCAAAATTCTAATTTTCTGATTGTAACATAAAAAAAAATAAAAAAATAACGGGTCCTGAAATGGTAGGTCTAGAATTTTTTTTTTCGGTCACACAAAAGTCTCAAGACATTATTTTTTGCAAAAAAAATGGGGGGGGGGGGCAAGTGGGGGGCCCGGGCCCCCCCCGCCCCCCCCCCCCGGTTCCGCCGGCCATGTCACGTGCATAAGGATAGTAAACAAAAGAACTTTGTAAAGAAGGAAGTTGCTTCCAGTAATTTTGTTTATTCCGTTGGGTTCAACAATTAGCATTTTAAAAATCATCACTTTAATTAAAAGGCTTAATTTTGTCTTCAGGTTGCAGATTTTTGTTCAATAAACTAACAAAATATGATAGGCTATATTATTATTTAATTATGTATTGGGTAAAGCTGATTGAATACAATCAAATAAATGAAGAAAAATAAACAGTCAAACCGCTGTGTCGACAATGGCAGCAAATTGGCCATGAGCAAGCCGATTGAATGGACCTTTCCGCTAAGCCCCGCCCATTGGATATTGTTGCTAAGGTCCCACAAGACGACAATGTTAAAACATACGCAAACACGTGCGTTTGTGGGACAACACGTGTGTTTGTGAGACGCGCGCGTATTCCTAGCGTTGTTCTGATTAGTCAGTTGTTAAGTTTGATTGACACTCCGGAAAGGTCTATTGTGTACACGTGCGCTATCCAGAATCACATTCAAAAATATGTGGCATGCCTAAATATGGTCATGTTGACATCACATTATGACCATATATAGGCATACACTAGGTTTTTGTCAAAGAAAATTTGATAATTTGTGCAGGGCTTAACATGTGATGTAACTGCAGCCAATTACGTAATGTATGACCTCCAATCTTGCCTCCAATATTTTGAATTTGAAATTACTCGTTTGAGCACGACAGATTCCCAGGTAGGTAGCAGGTTTACATGCTTTAATACTTTAACTTAATTGCTCATGAACATTCTTGCAACCATTGCTTGAATTTATAAAATGAATATCTGAAGTTTGGGCACGTCAAAGTAATCAGCTAAAGTCTGTGTCCATTTAACTTATTCCAAAGTTTAATTGTTTTTTAAATATTATATTTAATTTCTGGATGTATATTTTAATTGCTCAGTAGATTTAAACATTCTGCTAATTAAGTGATTGCACTGTAAAAACGTCATGAATAAATTTTTAATTAAATTTAATAATTTTATGTGAGCGTATGTTTGTGGAGGTGCAAAAAAATAAATTATATTAAAAAAATAGTTTAAAACTTTAAATGTAGTAAGCTTACTTGCATTAGACTTAACACCGATGTAATCTCCCAAATTTAGTCTGAAATTTTCAGCTTCACTTCCAATCTCAATCGACTCGTAGGTGACGTGATAAGCGTTGTCATCTTTGGTAACCATATCTATACGAAATTCATACTTTGCTGACGACGTAATAGTGTGGATTTCTTTGTTCCCGAGCCAAAACTCGCCACTCAAAGCACCAAATCCAGACGCATAATTTTGCCAATTCTGGTTGAAATTTACAGACCCATCTTTCCGTCGCTGAAATACCTAAGATATTAATTGTATTATCTTAAATAGTTCTAGGCCACGAAAGCAGTAAAGTACACAACTGACCGTTATTATTTTGCTAAAGAGGCACTACAGTACGTTATTCATATGTTTAAGAAACTTAGGCCTAGGCAACTGTAATGCCGGCCAGTTTTTAACAATTATAAACTAATTAACGAGACATGATTTAAATAATGTATTTGCACAAAATTCATTTTATATCTCCTTCTTCCTCTAACACTTTTTGTCTATAATTAATTTCAAATTAGAGACCACTTTTGGGCCTGAAAATGTGGTATCCGGCAATGGCCTCGGTCTCCAATTAGAGGGTTAACTTTGTGTTGAAGGATTTAACACGTTGACTGCCAGACCTTTTCTGACGGTTCCTTCCCGTGTGCCAAAACAAGTTTACATGTACAAACATACTTTTTTGAAATTTTATCTAGTCATATATCATCAAAATGATGTGTCTAATAAATTGGCGGGAAAATATTAGGGGCCCAGTATACTCGTCGATGGCACTGTGATAGAACTTCTTGCTGACTATGCCAAGTGCGAGTTATCTCGTCCTCTTTTTGCATGGGTTGGTATATCAGAGCCGTAGATGTGGTATATGTTCAAAGGGCGCCCCCACTTGTACCGCTCGAGTGTACTACCGGCAACATAACACAACAAACATACATATGTCATTTGTACGTTATCGTCTAGGTGTATCTTCCCCGAACTACCAGCCGTTGAGTCTGTGGTGGTACATTTTATAATAAAGAAGTTATAAACGCTAGAATGTTCCCCCGTTTTTGAGGAGTATACTCGTTCCTGGCGCCCTCAGCAACACCCTGTGGGAGAGTATACTCGTCGCTGGCAGCCCACGTGTTAAATTACTTTTAAAAGGTGGTCTCAAGTTCGAGGGACCTTGGAATTAGGGGGTCTGTAATTGGAAGGCTAACTGTATTTTGAAACCTACCGTCCACGCTTTACCATCAGTGTCCATGTCACAATAAGTGAGAAACGCGTCACACGATGAGCATGGTTTAATTTGGTAAACACCACTTTCACCACTCAGTCGTTGCTTGACTTCAGTGCAATCGCGATACGTTGGTGTCGTGTACAGCAGTACATTCGTTGGGAACATCAGCGTGACTAATTGATATTCAGATTTACTGGCGAATACGTCACACATTTGTCTGTCTCTATCGTAAGCTATAGAGGAACATTCTTCAAAGTGACGCAAACAAAGTTGTACACAATCGGTTAAACCCCTTACTGATGAATGATGTAAAGAATGACTCGACACCAGACGTCCATTAGCTCTGGACATCGACAGGGCGTGGGATTCAACTGTAATAATGAAAACATTATGTTTCACAAAATAATAATAAATGTTATTTACCGAATAAAAAAATTGCAGTACCATTTAGCTCCAGGGGTTAAGAGGCTCATCTTAATGGGTTCTGAGTTAGCATTTTGTAAAATGGCAGACACTTTTCACGATTAAATAACTCTAAAACGAGACATATAAAGCCTCATAGTAGTTATACTTTTAGGTAAACTTGATAAGTTGTTTTAATTAACTATAATCAGCAAGTACTTATTACTGTTGACTGTAAAACATACTGAAATTTACAAAATTGACCATTTTAAAAACCGAAGACAATTATTACTAGTCAAGAAAGAAAATGAAAAATAGTTTGAGACTATCCGGTACAAACATTATTTTATATTATTTTTCAGTTACTAGTATAATATAGGCCTAATAATACTAGTAATGATAATAATAATAATAATAATAATAATAATGATAATGATAATAATAACAAAGATGATGTATTAAGATGATAAAGAAAATGATAATAATAATAATAATAATAATAATAATAATAATAATAATAATAATAATAATAATAATAATAATTATATAATTTAATTTGCTGCTTCTGCTGTTGTTGTTGTTGTTATATAATATAAGATAATGTCCGTACATTTCATTTCATTTATTTATTCAGTGTCTTGGGGCCCCAAAAGCCACAAAATCACCATGACAAAAGTCTGGAGCCCCAGAAAACTAAACTTAACTATATTATTAGCGAATATATAAAAAGATAGGCAGGATAGGCTTAGTCGCAAAATATTTTTCTTTTCTTACATCATTATCATCTTAATTATTATTATTATTATTATTATTATTATTATTATTATTATTATTATCATTATCATTTTCTTTATCATCTTAATACATCATCTTTATTATTATTATTATTATTATTATTATTATTATTATTATTATTACGGACACTTTTTTATATTATTTTTCAATTACCAGTATATAATAATAGGCCTAATAATAAAAATAAAAATAATAATAAAAACAACAACAACAATAATAATGATTAAAAAAAAAAAAAAAAAAAAAAAATAATAATAATAATAATAATAATCATCATCATCATCTAGTAGCCATCCTACCAGTCGCCCGGCGTCCTAATATTGATAGATACCAATCATCACGCCAGAAATTTCCTGACAGGGTTTCTAACAAGTCCGACAGGGGGTATCTGAACGAAGGGGCCCTACTAGAACTTCGGTAATGTAAAAAATGTACAGTACAGTACTCCAAAATTGATGAAATAAGCTTTTGAAACCACTAAATAATTGTCATATTTTTCGGGGGCTTCTCCCCCTGCGACACTTTCGAGAGATTTTGAGTGACGTCCGAACACGCTCACTTCTTTCGTTGGGGACATCTCCCCCTCATCACGTTGGGACCTCTGACCCCGTCAGGCAAATCCTGGGGCCACTATCCCTACCCACGGAACGAGGATTTTAAAGATAGTGGAGCCTGAGAGCATATCCACCCCCAGCCCCACCATGGTTGGCGAACAGCTTTTTGACACCTCTGAATGTCCGAAAATAGATGCTCACGCTGAAAACATATATGAGTCGCTCCCCTCAGAGCCAGCAAAAAAAGTTAAAATTAGCATAGAAATATAGTTCATACCGCCTTCAGCCCCAACATAGTTGGGGCAGAGGTGAGAAAATTTGGAAATATGGCACCTTTTGGATACTCGGAAATAGCAGCTTGCCGCACCCTGTAAAGCCTCTACCCCTCCCTATCAATGTTTTTTGCAGACACAGAATTTTAAGTGAGTGGGAACTAGAGTTAATCCTCACCATGATTGGGGCTGAGGTGAGCACATTTTGAACCACCTCTAGATAGTGGTGTAACTAGGTTCCCAGGGACCCTGGTTCAGTTCGATAGTAGGCCTAGGCCTATACAGTCATATAAATTGGCGAGACCGATAATCAGGCACACAAAGTTTTATACATGTAACAAAATTACTCTCTTACTAAAGTGATTCATAGTAAAACCATCCCCCGCTGAACATCATCCTTATTTTTTGGAATCTAGAATTCGGGGCTAGAAAAAGTTTATTTATGAAAGGGAATTGTTTAAAATTTATTACTATTTTACTTAAGAAATTTAGAAATTTTTTTGGAATCTAGAATTCGGGGCTAGAAAAAGTTTATTTATGAAAGGGAATTGTTTAGAATGTATTACTATTTTACTTAGGGGTCATCCATAATTATCATCAAAAGAGTACAAAACATACTCTTTTCTGTTACTCCCTCCCTCCCCCCAAAAGTGTACACAATAAAATGTTGATTTGTGTCATTTTGAGATCAACATTTTATGTTTTTCATAAAAGAGTACCGGTACTTATGCCTACACTTTCAACCCCCCCCCCCTAAAGCGTATGTTTTGTACTCTTTTAAAAATGTTGATGGATGATCCCTATAAGAAATCCATAGTGTCAAGTCATATACCTGTTTTCATGCTTTTAATTTAAATGACAATGCTCTTGGTGTTTTATATGCAAATTTTATACTGTATGGTATTTGTTCAATTTTAACAATCTTTTTTAACCATTTTTCGTCTGATCTGTAGAACGTGTATATTGTATCCTTTTTTATTTTATTTTATTTTTTTTTTGTAATGTGTGACGAGCAACGAAAACTTCAAGCCATTTTTATAAGTTTGTTCAATAAAATCGAAATAAATTAAAGTGAATTTATACAGTTCCGGCACGTTTGAGTCTAGGTTTCGGGGCCGGAATATTGATTTATATGTATTATTATACAGATACTACTTTAATGTCATAAAAATACGTAGTACAATATATATTATATATATCGCACTTTTACCAACTTTAAGTTTCATGGCCTGAATCAGTGAATACAGAATTATATATGGGAGTGATAATAGTGCCCAATAGGCCTAAAAACTTTGATCAGAGCATGCTTATGTGCTTTGTTAATAGCAAAATGTGCACAGCAGATCGAATATATCCCCATAGCTAACTTGGTCACTGGAGTAGAGGGTATGCAATGCCGTAGCCAGCAGTTGGGACAGTCCCACACAATTTTTCTAATGGGTCCACAAATAATGGGTCCACATTTTGAAAATGGGTCAAAATTATGTACCGGTAATTTTGTGCATAAAATGGGTCCACTTTTGAAAAATGTGTCCAGATTTCTCATATTTAGCTTCAGATGGGTAAAATTTAAGAAAATGGGTTCCGAATTTTCATATTTTACGCGTAAAGTGGGTCCGGCCGAAAAGATCCTGTTCTCAAGTATAGCGTTATGTCGAGATAATCGATTGAGTTCTTATTTGCTTCAATTTTTAGCCTTAAATTGTTTTCGCTGAATATCTTGCATAAGTCTTTCTTTATTATTTCAATCTTTCGTGGTGATTCATGAAAAGCGGCTAATCCATCATCTCGGTATAAGAGAGCCAACAACGCTCATTGAGAGCGTAAAAAAACGATACGCTCTACGCAGCCAGAGCCATATATATACCATGGAGGTATTATCATGGAGGTATTAGGCATTTTTCGTTTTGACTACGCGGCCAGTCTACTACGAACTAATAGAGCGTAACAGACATCTGCGCATGCTCACAAACCTTACTGGCTAAATCGGGGTTGTGACAGCTTCCGCGACAACCCCAATTTCTGAATTTGGCGTAGTGGCGACTACCCTAATAC